TGTCGCAATCGGGAAATTAGCAGTCAAGAATTCTTTGCTGAAACATGGCCGAAAATGAAGTTTCTTGCAAAATGTGTGTTTTTGATGGCAAACACTAAACAGTCTCGAGTAGGAATGCAATATTGATGGAATACTACTTGCAGTACATGCATTTGTTGTCCAAAGCCGTGTTTACACTACGAGCCTAAGCCTGGCCTGGGCCTACCTTTGGACTAGATTTTTGTAGTATAAACGCACGTCGGCCTGGCCTAGGTCAGGAAACCTGGAACACCTGTTCTGATAGGCCCAGATTTCCTGACCTAGGCCAGGCCGAAGTACGTTTACACTACAAAAATCTAGTCCTAAGGTAGGCCTAGGCCAGGCTTAGGCTCGTAGTGTAAACACGACTCAGGACAAAGATAAATATTTGGTTTTTAACTGATACTGCATGTGCGCCAACGATCATCGTCAAATTTCAGTATGTGAGGTATTTTGCTAAAATTGCTTGTTTTCACCTTAATTTTCTCATGTATACAGGTTGTGCCAACAAATGTTTATATTAGGTCAGAAGATGTACTTTTCTTTCTAGTTTTTGCTAATATACAAGAATGAAAACTCGCCTAAAAATGAAGAAAATACTGAATTTTGGCAAATTTCATGTGCAAGTGTAATTTGTACGAAAAAGGCGACTCAGAAAATGAGCATCAGAATAAACATTTTGTCCTGTATTTTGCTCTAATAGTTTTAAAATATTATTTTTAGGAGTTCAAAAACAGATAGACATAGCAATCAGGTTTTTCTTTCCATTTCGAAGCATAAACTTTGTATTATTTTTTAACACAATTTTCACTCGTTCAAAATAATATAAACTCGAATTTTGTCATGTTACAGGTTGTGCCAACAAAATTTCGCTGTTTTACATTAAATTTCAAAGCATTTTTAAGTTAATTCTTTGCTTTCTAAGAAATGTGGAATTGTTAGTATTTTTGGTTTGAATTTCACATTTTATTGAAGCTATCAGACGACATTTTAAAAAGAATTTTTTTGTTTTGTTTTGAATTGATATAATCGGTATTTATAGTTTACATTGTATTGCTGCAACATTTTTTGTCAGTTAATCCAATTTTTGTGGTGATTTGTGATTAAAGGTGATCTACAGTCCGATCTGCGCATGTGCACAAAGGAGCCCACTTTTTATGATACAAACAGTTTAACTATGTTTTGGGTTCTTGCAAAGACTGATTGTTGTTTCTTGATCATTTATTATACTCTAGAAGCTTGAAAATATAAATAGTTGTCGAATAAAGCTCAATATTTTGGACGCAAAAATGTAAACAATTAAAGGCTTTGTTTACATACGGACTGTAGATCACCTTTAAACATGCAGCCGCTACAAAATTGTCTTTCAAAGACTTCGTTCGCGTTGTTTTTTTTTTAAATCAACCAAGTGGAAGCACGCATATCTTCTTCCGCTGTTTTTGCGCTGCTATGCAGACAATTTTCCCACCTGTTCGCCTAGATAGGTTCGGTAAAGTTCTGTTTTGATAATAGTTTTTGCCTGTGATGTCAGATAACTCTGAATTTCTTCAAGGTGGAACACTATAATCTTTATTGTCCAAGGTATCTTGCACCCTTGATGTTCGAAAAACAGATGGTGAAGAGTTTCTCTCTGCTATAGTCAAATTAATATAATAATCGTTAAATAAATACTTTCACCTTAACTACATGCTCAGATTTCACGAGTTCTGCATTCGTGGCTGGTGTATTGTTGGTAAGAAACAGACCTGTCCTTACTGCAAAGAAAAAGTTGATCTCAAGAGAATGTTTCCAAATCCGTATCCTTTCACGTACGTTATTATATGAGGGTCGTGCTTTTTTCACTATAGGGAATGGGACCTTTTCTGGCAGCGTTTTTGCTGACGTGGTAAGTAATGACGACAAAGAAAAAATTCGCTTTCCGCGAACAAATTGCTTGGAAACCCGGCTTAACAGCAGTACAAATTTCAGCAGTACAATTAATTAGTGAAGTAATTAGTACATTAGTCTCAGCCAATTAGAATAGGCCTTTCTTATAATGACGTCAGATGCGGAAAAACACTTAATCGATGTCCAAAGGGACAATTTTTAGTGCCAAATCGTAATGCAAATGATACTTTTATGAAATTTATTGGCTCACCAACGACTTGCATTGTCCGGTGGGACGTCACATAAATTGGTTTGACGTCATTATAAGACTGTGTGGTAACGTTTTCGAGCGTGTTCAGCTGTAACGTTTTCAAAAAGTGTCGTTTTCAAGCTGTGTCCACACGAAAACGGATGAAACGACGTCTTGTGACGAAAACGTTTTCAATGCTAAAAAACGTTTTCGGACAAGCGTTTTCGCGTTGAAACGCGCTAAAATCCAAGATGGCGGCTTAAAATCAAAATATTATATTTTTGTTTCCTGGAAGCTTAGATCTTTCATTGGTATAGCCTTTCAAGTGTGTAATGATTTATGAACGATTTAAAATGTGTTTCGCTTTCGAAGGAGCGACAGACTTCGTATCGCCGGTGTTGCTGAAAATACATATAAAACTGTTTACTTTATTCATAATGAGCAGATGACATTTTAAGAAACTCGTTGACAAGTTATGACGTGAAAACGTTTCCGTGTGGACAGAGCGTCAAACTGACAAATTTGGACATTTTAGAAGCGCCAGGAAACGTTACTGTGTGCACATAATCTTAGAAAGGTCTATTCTTGGGTTTCATATGACGTCACAAAATTGACGGGGGGTCAACTCTAAAACAAAACACAGTTATCAGAGTGAGTCGATTGTTCGTTTTATGTATTAGCCTTGTGCTTGGTGGCAAATACATGGAATTTCGTATCATTTTCTCACTCCGGTACAGCATAAGCATCAATACATTTGAGATTGACCCCCCGTCAGATTCACTGCATAATGCTGTAGTGAAACCCAAGAATTGGGCAATGTTTTCCTGGAAGTTAAGAGGTAACACCGTTGTTTGCATCTAATGGTGAACAGTCGCAGATTGTTTATGTTAATGTAACTTCAAAATCTGCAAGAGCATGTGACAACGGGTTTTCCTATATTCACGCTGATTGGCTGAGCTACACACAGTAAAAATGCGCCAGTTGTTATAGATGTACTAACACGTTGCAACAAAGTTGTTGTCAAGCCAATATCAGAATGTGTTCGCAGGTTGTTATCACCTTGTTACAAGGTTGATGACGGTAACCATTGTCTTTCAGAACATGGTTTGGAAACTCCGGTAAAGTCTTTGTTCTATCTTTTTATTTGCGTTTATGCAGTTTTGTGCACGGTGCACGGTCAATGAACACATTGTATTTCAGTATAATGAACGAATCATCCAATAGCAACGTTTCAGTTCAGTCATTCAACCATGCTATTTAAACATTAATAAACCTAAAACAAAGGATGTGCACGGTGTAAGGTACGGCTCAACATAAACTCCCAGCTCATTATAACCGCTTTGAAGTTTACTGAGTTTCCAGACCATGTCTCGAAAGACTATGCGGTAACAGACTTGCTACAAGTTGTTCCAACAAGACTAATACAGGCTGTTCGTAACAATTAGTTGCTACGAGTATGTTGTCATATACGTGTTACGTGCAGATGGTATCACTAATCAGACTTATTGTAACAACTTGTTGCGAGTGTTGACCTCACCAATGTTGTTACAAGATAATAACAACTTTGTTCCTGAAACAAGTGGGAACTACAAGCTGGGAGATTTTTGCGCACATAATGCTCGTTACAGACATGGATGTTTCACACGAGACCAGACCATGTCTGCCACTGTCTATCCTTAGGGGATGTTTGCTTCATCCCGCTTTGCCGGGACGAGATGTGAGGCGGAATGATTTTGATGTATTGAAATAAGTCACGGTGCATGATACGGCAAAACTACATTATTTTTCTAGTGATAGATTATATTATAATTGTGAACGAAAGGTTACTGAAGCAGCAATAATAATCTTTTTCAACTACGAGATCATCTCGACAACATTTGAGTTCTTTTAACTTTCGTTTATTAAGGCTGGTGATTTATTTCAAAACAACAAAATCCTTCCTTCCCGTCCCGACGAACAGAGATGACGTAAACATCTCCTTTTAGAACAACGGTGAATGAAACAGAAGTAATCACATGTTACGTCCTTAACGGTTATACACAGCTGGGAGAAACCACATATATTATTTGGTCAGTTATTGGACTGGTTACGTTATCTAGTGGTGTGGCAACCAATTATAATACTTGTTGTTCAAGTAATCGTTTGGAGTCTTGGACTTGAGTAAACAAGAATTAAAAATACGTACATGAAAGCAGTATTTCTATGAATTTTATCTTCAAAATTGCAATCATTTGACGCGCCAACGACGTTTTAAATTATTTTGACAAATATAGACATGTATTTACATTATTACAAATTGATAATTTAAATGAAATTTAAAATCTCATTAATAATTCATGAGGAAAAGGAACTCACGACCGTGTCGCTGGTTTGATATGTGATAAAAAAATCATGTTCATTTTCATAAACTGATTTTCTCGGCTTAGACAACGTTTATTTTAAAAATTACTTCGTCAATGAACTCATCAGATGGGTCGTTTTTTAAGCCATTTAAAACCCTCGCAGTCCGTGCTTTATCAGATATAAAACACTCGAGCTGCGTTCTCGTGTTATATATTTGATAAAGCACTCTTGATCGTGTTTTAAATAAGGCCGAGGGAATTAAAGTCATAGAATACCGTCCTCCGCCCGCTTGTCCAAAATGCTGCCGCAAAAAAATCATTATTTCAAAAAATTTCGTTGTTTCAACAATGATGATCTACACTTTAAACTATAATTTATCGCAGAAGTCATGTATTAAGGGCAAAGTCTACTTGTACAGCAAAGCTTTCACTTCACAGGCATTCGCTGCCTAGTTTTAAAGATTGCTGGCACATTACTGAACATGCAGGTATATTGACGTTCGACCAATTTTCACACATTTCTAAAAATAATGAATAATGAATAATGAAAAAAAGCCTCATCTATTTTTGAAATTATAAGGACGGTATTCTATGACTTTCATTCCCTTGGCCTAATACATATTGTGTAGTGTTTTGGCACAGGAAGACCAAGCGTTGATCCGTGTCTGTGTTGTATGTTTTTCAGTTTATTTATTTTACTGTCTTCATATTGCCTTTTAATTTAATTGAATTATAACACTACATTACACTAATATGTCATATAATAATAATAATACTCCTATAGTCGAACATAATAATAATAACAACATATAAGTTGATTTGCATTTGTATGTTTTTCAGTTTATTTATTTAAGATCTATTATTAGCTTATATAAAAGCACCGCCTTTCGAACCTGACAGCCCGTTCGCAGGATACACGCGGGCAAGATATGAATAACGCGTGTATCCTGCGAACGGGCTGTCAGGTTCGAAAGGCGTTGCTTTTATATATAAGCTAATAATAGATCTTAAATAAATAAACTGAATAACATACAAATACAAATCAACTTATATGTTGTTATTATATGTTCGACTATAGGAGTATTATTATTGTTATATGACATATTAGTGTAATGTAGTGTTATAATTAAATTAAAAGGCAATATAAATATACTAAAATAAATAAACTGAAAAACATACAACACAGACACAGATGGGATCCTGTGGTTTTGGTGACACGTCTAAAAAATAGGTACAGGAGAAATGATTATACTCTCCGCTATTTCATCATGACAAAAGCAATAGCGTACTGCTGTACGCTGTTCTTGACTCTTGAGTATACTGGATAAATTTGTTAACATTTTCATTCTGATTTCAACTATATATACAGGGTGTATGAAAAAAACCTGCACAGTTCGAAAATGTTCGCTAACTGCAAATTCCGTAAAATTTTTGAAAACTTTATTATGCATGCATGTGTACTTTGGAGTCTGCTATATCTTTAACACTAAAATTATGAAGTGCATGCAGGAGTTGTTTTTTTTATAAAACCACTCTAAAAATGGCTTATTATAAATACGTAATTTGAATTCATAGGGTACAAATTTAGAAAGTGGTTCATGAACTATTAAAGTACCAGCAGTTTGATGTACGCCAAGTCCAACGCGCGGCCTCCTGAAAAATTGACTTTTTCCCATATTAGCCATTCACGCACAATTTGTTAAACGCATGACTGATTTTTTTACAAAAAGTTTAAAATTTATGCGTGAAAGGCTACTATGGCAAAAAGTTCACATTTTAGTGGTCGCGCGTTGGACATTAGCACGCACATTACATGAAATTGTCTGGTACTTCGATAATTCATAAAAATATCTTCTAAATTTGCACCCTATTAATTCAAATTGCGCGTGTTAAGCCTTCCATTTTGTGCTCAAGTCATTTTTAGAGTGGTTTTTTAAAAACAACCCTCTGCACTCGAAAATTTACTTTTCAAAATTATTTTAGTGGTAAATACACCAGCAGAGCTCAAACTACCCATGCGTGCATACACCTGTATTTACAGTCATCTTCAGGAAAATGGCACGTATTTTTAAAGGCCAATTACTTATAAGCTCGTTACTTGCGAGTTGTAAAGTTTGTATGACTATAAAATAGCTGGCTTTTAAAATACGCGGCATTCTCCTGAAGACGACTAGAAATATGTAGTCGAAACGACGAGAATGTGAAAATTTTAACAATTTAAGGAGTGTCTATTTTTTATGTTTAATTAAAATACTCTACGGCAATCTGAGGGCTCGAACTACTACAATACAAGTTAACTCAGAAAAAAGTTTACTTTTATTAATAAATTATTAATATAATGCTCTATTACACTTTGAAAAAATTCTGAAAATATCCTAAAAATAATTCTCACTAGCTGGTTTTAACGAACGATCATTGATTGGATGTCGTTAACTAGATCACACAATTATATGAAGCGAATTAAGTTGATGCATCTTTTTTTTAATCTATTGTTACCAACTGCAAAAATTATGGTGATAAAGAGAGGCGAGAACTTGCATACCCTTGTCTGATGTCCATTTGTGGAAAAGCCACTTTAATTTGCAGGATGTGATTTGATGTAATCTTTGCATTTCGCCAATCATAGTCTGGGATCGCAACCAGTGATCTCTCTATATATAACTGGAGCGAGAACTTGAGTCATTCGGACTATGAGAAAAGTGAAGCCAAGATGGCGGACATTGACGTCCAAGAGTTCTGAAGGATCCTAAACAGTTTCAACACCATCTCTCCCAGCTAATTCCAGCTTTTTTTAACAGACCGTGTCGCTAATCAAGTTTCTTTAAATCGAGGTCAAAATATGAAATTATGGCACAACAATATAAAGGGGCTGGAACTGACGTCCAATAGCTCTTCAATTTCCGCCATCTTCACTTTTTGGACTCGAGTTCTCGCTCCAGATATATATGGAGCTCATTGCCAACAACACTGCAACCAATCTCGTTACCAGGGAAGACCCTGTGAACGCGGTTGCACTGCCACCTCGATACTTTCCGTATGTGAAAAATAAGGAAAGAACCCTGGGTAGGAGATTGACAACATTGTTTTATGTTGATAAAAGATTTGTAAATGACCATGCAGTCGAAAAATTCCACGATTACGTTCATACGAGACCAGGCTGGCTATGCAAATCGTGCAAATGCAGCGTTCTGTCACTTTGAGCAAGAATTAGCGAGCTTACGTTTTTGTCAACACGGACGACAGATTTCTGCCTCCTCCGCAGGCCCTCGTTGTGTCATGGGAAGGTCGCGATTTCGAGAGGGCCTGCGGAATCTTGTAAAATGAATAACTGTTGTTTTGAACCTGCTTCGTTAAAGAAGGCAGTTTTATTCTTGCAACGTTGGTGTGGACAACAAACCTTATCGTTAAAAAATGCTTCCTTCCACGTCCTAAGAGTCGCCAGTTTAATTTACAAGTTTCACGCCGCTTTTTTATATCTTGTTTATATTCAAGATTATGTAGAAATTTACTTGCTGACGGCGGCGCCATTTTTTTTACAAGATTCCGCAGGCCCTCGCCAGATCGTGACCTTTCCATGACGCAACGAGGGGCTGCGGAGGAGGCAGGACAGATTTTCCGAGAGGGGACTGGATTAAAAACTGAGTTTTTTGCTTCCTTGCACGAGCGCTATGATGCAAAATGCCGCCAAGATTATAGAGATAATCGGGTGACGTCCGTGTTGACAAGAACTCGCTTGCTTCAGCTCGCTAGTATATTATTCCGTGTGAACGGAGGCTTGAATGATATGGTGGCCTGCAGACCATCGCGTCAACACTGACATCATGTGGCAGTTCTCGGTTTCTTTTCTATCTTCTTAAAACAGCTTTTGCAAACTGGAACTTTATTTTCTGAGTAATGTCCAGGGAGAGACGTCTGATAGTCAATACATCTTCGACAGAATACTTGACCGCAGTTCCAACAGTGATACTAAAACAAAAGTAGCTTGGGTTATGAATTAATTACTTACTAATATGTTAGTTACTAATATAAACTGGTAATATATCCAAATTTATAAATATAAATTTAAACTGGTAATAAATCCAAAAGTAAAACATATTATATTATATTATATTATATTATATTATATTATATTATATTATATTATATTAATAATATATAATATAATATGTTTTACTTTTGGATTTATTACCAGTTTAAATTTGTTTTTCATCTGTAGCCGTCTTTGTTGAGAGAAAAAATCCGTTGTTTTCACCCGTGTTGCTGACACTGAATTTAGCGTGCGTTTTTCGTGACGTGCGCGTACTAAATTAAGCACATGTTAAGCGGCTCCCTTATACCAACGGCGCTTAGTTTATGCAGGGTGTAGTGGGTTATGGTTGCAGTGCGGTCGTGATCTAACATTGTGGTTCATGATGTAATGGTACATGCAACTGGGTTCCGGTTAGGCTACATGCAGTTTTGTTGCGATGGCATACTGCATATGTTAGGTCATATGTACGGCATACAGTATTAACCACCGGTTTTTTCTGAAATTCCTTGAGTTATATGAAACTGACCTTTCTGGTTAAAGAATCAATGGGTGATGCACAGGAACACTGCGTGACTCCCCGGAATGGTTGCCAGTCTAATGACAAACGTGGATTATCGCTGACTAATTCGCTCAAGGTTATACCCTGTCGTCTTAATTCTCTCTCAACTTCACAACTTGGATTTTCATTGTCTGTTGTAGTAGTTATTTCTCCCTCGCTTCTCTCATCACCAACTTTATCAACACCTTCCTCGGGTCCGTTAACAATTTTCAAATCATTGTCAGTTTCCTTGTCAAGAATGATTTTCATTAGCTCTATCCTCTAAAAATACAAAATATACAATGTTGAAAACAAACATGACAAACGTGAACAAAGTTGAGGAAATATAGCGACGTCCAAAAATATACTACAACTGCCGCTGACGATTAACATACTTCTAAATCGCAGATACGTGTAGTAACATTCACAGGAAAAATACTGCAATCTATATTCATGGTATATCCACACGATTCCTATACTGTAACCATGTGAAGAAATTGTATTCGCCTATTATTTTCATCGACGGATTTTGAAAAAAACAACACAATTCCATTGATTGTCTGTGCTCATGCGAATCATCATCAGTCTTTAATTTGTAACGAGCATTTGAAGGTCTTAATTCCTATCAGATTAAAAACCTCCCAAATGTTCTTGAAAACCATTAAAGTTTCAAGTGAGAATATATCTTTCTTATCTGCGACGACTCATTTATTAAATACTGCAAACGTCAGGATTTGTCCACCTCAAACTCCCAGTGGTTGGTCTGACGTGGTTCGAGGTAAGGACGTTTGGTTGATAACGGCATCAGCTGGATTAATCAACCATGCTTGCGTATGGTTTTGAGCATCCCAGAGTCGTTACACCTATCTAAATAATGTCCAAATTCATCTTGGCGATAAGCTAGTCAGCAAAATTGTTGTCCTGTGACAATGTATGGTATTTATTTACTGTACATAAAGTATAATAGGATACATCACTGGCAGTACTGCTCTATAATGCTTACTGCAATCCACCAACAGAACATAGTATTACATGAAAACATTTATACAGACAGTTGATGTAATACCTTGCTAAGTAGAGAGATGTGATCTTGTATTGAATCATTTTGATCAACGAGACTTGTGATGGCATCCGTCACAGTTTCTCTCGAATGCATAACATTCTCATGACGATTATACATTGCTCTCCAACACCTTCAGAAAACAAATATTGAAATAATTCATTACAGTACTACATGTATAGACATTTGAGATAAGGTAGGGTATACAATCTACACTGGAAATATATTTCATCGTAGCACTGGTACTTCTGTTTGTCTGCACAAAATGGCGGCAAGCTGGTCGTGGCTGTTTCGGCCATGTCAAGGTGACCAATGTAATGTTGATCTCTCTGTAACCAGTCAAGACTGATTTGAAATAGCACACAAAAATACATAATAGATCTAAGATATTTCACATCGACGAGAATATTGAAACCTAGCCCGCGTAAGCCTGCTATGCAGACTAATGGAAACAATGCTTAAAGGATTTTTTATGGTTGCAAGGATTCTCACTCCTTATCAAATTAAATATGGCCTGCACTATATAGCAGATTTAGTATTTATAATTTTTAAAAGGGCACGTCACTGGGGCACGCACGAGAAAGGTACTACTATATGATTCGTAACCAAGTACTCATTCCATATCCGTAGAAATGCATGTGCTATAGTATGTACAGTACGTGCATGCATATGAATGTACTTACGCGAACCATACCTTATGTATTGAGGCGAGGTCCTCGGTCTCAGAAAATGTGTTTTTAATTCATTAAATAGAGGATTTACAAAATCATTCACATTCTGCCACATGTAGCCCCACAAGGAATATGTTCTTTCCGACAGACTATAAATGTACATGAATATGTGAGCAAATACATAAACGTCAAGCCATGCATATGTCAATCACTGACATGCCGCCACGTGCACACCCACAAATGATGTTATTGAGCGAAAGCAAGCGACGTTTTTCTCAACACGGACGTCACCCAAAAATTGGTATATCTAATTTTGGCGCCATTTTGCATCATAGCGCTCGTGTAAGGAAGCAAAAAAAAACTTTAAAAATTTTGCCAGATGTGTTGAAGATTACCACAAACTGACACAAACACAGTTTTTAGTCCCCCCTCCCGACAATAGGGAGCTTAAGCATGTAGGACGGCAACATGACGACGACGGCAACCAATACAATGAGTCAATGAAAAGAAATAAATAATTACAGTCCCAGGGGACTTTCAGACGTGATCGTCGTTGTGTTTACAACGGCAAATCACAGATTTTCACGTCTTTTATACAACGCCTACATTTCAAGCCGTAACAAGTGCAACTTAAAATTCGGTCAGAAGAACTCTTCCCAAACATAAAGCCAATGTTTTCAGCTTCTTATACTGTATTAAATTCATACGAATTATAATATACGACAAGTTTTCTTTACTATCATGCTTAAGCTCGCTAATCTGACGTCCGTGGTGACAAGATATAAGAAAGACATGAATATGTCAGAAAACACAAAACAAATTGTCAGAAAAAAATCCTCCAAAAACAAAAGAAAGCAAGCAAACCTGAGATCTCGTCTTTCTTTCTCGCAATTTCCAAGGAACGTCCCGAACTAGAGTAAATGAAAACATAAAACATTAACCATGTATTGTATAAGACTGAAGGTGGTAAAGCTTTCATACAGAGATTGAGAGGTCCTCGATTCCTCGCCGCGTTAAACTCCGCGTATATGAGTAGCATGGTTTCAGGTAAAACTGGACTGTGCGGTAAGTTGCTGGGAGTGTGGCATTAGGGAGCTTTAGATTTGACTACGAGTACGACTACGAGTACGAGATTCGTCAAGCTAAACGCATGCTGTATGCTTACGCCATCCCGTACTGACGCTAAAAAGTCGTACCCGTCGCCCATCTGAGTACGAAATTGTGGAGAAACCTCGTAGTCCTCACGACGACTTTTCAAAAAAAAACAAAGAAAGTTGACTTTTTTTTGTTATCCAAAAATAATTTGTAGCATTTATATAGCGTTTATCCGGCGCAAATAATATATTAGTGCTAAATATCTGGCCTATTTTTAATGTTATGACTTATTTACACGTTTTGTAGGGGATTTTAGTTGGCAGGAGATTTAGTTTATGAAACTTTTTCTCTAGTTGTTGGTTTACTGTTATAAAAGCAACATTTGAATGGAAACGAAAACGACTACGGTAATTTCCTCGCACGCGATCAAATCTCGTACTCGTAGTCGTACTCGTAGTCAAATCTAAAGCTCCCTATTCTGCCTTAGCAAAACATCTTCCTGGTCTAGCGCAAGCGAGAAGGGGACAGACTCCCTCGCTGCACGGATGGTACCGGCAATATACCTCTTCGATATATCTACTTACGACTGAATAGAATCAAAAGAAATTGGAAACTATCATATAATGTATAATTGTAATGATCGTCGTGTGTGTGTGTGTGTGTGTGTGTGTGTGTGTGT